ATTTTTGTTAAGATCAGGAACAAGACAAGGATATTCATTTTTACCACTTTCATTCAACACAGTATTGCAAGTCCTAGCCACAGCAATTGTACAAAAATAGAATAAATAATTTTCAAGTACACATGGAACATTTTCTAGGATAGGTCACATGTTAGACTACAAAAGAAGTATCAGTAATTTAAGAAGACTGAAATATATCAAGCATCTATTTCAACCACAATGGTATGAAACTAGAAATCAATTATAAGAAGTAAAACACACAAACACAACATCCAAATTAGAAAGGAAGAAATAAAAGGCATTTACGTTAGAAAGGAAGAAGTAAAACTGCCATTTTTTGGTAGATGACATGACATATAGAGAGAGAACCCTAAATAGTCCACCAAAACACTATAGAACTGGTAAATGAATTCAGCAAAGTAGCAGGATACAAAATTAATATCCAGAAATCTGTTGCATTTCTATATACTAATAACAAACTATCATAAAGAGAAATCTATACTAATAATAGCCCAGGGCCTTCACGGCCAGACAAACAACCGGTCACGAGGAAGTGCATAGAGTACCTCTGGGTCCTGTCCCCGTGGCCCACAGGCTCCTATCACAGCAAGTCTGGCAGCCCGGTGGGCGGGGCGGGGCAGGTACAGAGAGCAGGCCCATAGACAGACAGCAGGGCCTGCCAGCCACAGTGCGCTGGCAGTCCTGCCTCTGCGCATGAGCTACAGAGGAAATACCTTTTCTGACTGCTCATTGGCTAAGCTCCTGGTATGCCACTAGCAGTGTTCTTGGTAACTTGGGTAATAAGAATCCAAGAAGATGATCTAGGGTTTTTCCACCTCACTCCTGGAGGAAAAAATGAAGGTTCACTGCTGGAGGGGTTAAGAAATGTCATATCCTGCCCTAGCCAGTTTGGCTCAGTGGATAGAGCCTTGGCCTGCTGACCGCAGGGTCTGGGTTCGATTCTGGTCAAGGGCATGTACCTAGGTTGCAGGCTCCTCCCTGGCTGGGTCCCAGGTCAGGGCTCATGCATGAGGCAACCAATCATGAGAAACATCTCACATTGATGTTTCTCTCTGTCTTTCCCTCTCTCTTCCATGCTCTCTAACAATCAATGGGAAAATATCCTCAGGTGAGGAAAAGAAAGGAAAGGAAAGGAAAGGAAAGGAAAGGAAAGGAAAGGAAAGGGAAAAGGAAAGGAAAAAGGAAAGGAAAGGGAAAAGGAAAGGGAAAAGGAAAGGAAAAAGGAAAGGAAAAGAAAGGTCATATCCTATAAAAGAGACATTTTGAAAATGCCTAAAGAAAGTTGTCATTTTTTTGTGGTGAAGGGACTGGAGTCCGTGTTGATGAAAACACCTTGGTGGCTGTGGCAGCCGGCAGTGGCAGCAGCAGTGGGGTGATGGTGGCAGCAGCAGTGGGGTGATGGTGGCAGCATCTTCCCTTGATCAGCCCGGTCACCTCCTGCAGAGGGAGGCCAGACTGCAGCTTAGGCCTGTTTGGGCCTAAGCCATCAGTAGACATCCCCTGAGGGCTCCCGGATTGGAGAGGGTGCAGGTTGGGCGGAGGAACCCCCCCTCCCATGCACGAATTTCATGCGCTGGGCCTCTAGTTAAAAATAAAGTCCCATTTACAATTACATCAAAAATAATAAAATACCTAGAAATAAATTTAACCAAGTTTATATATGACCTATACTCTAAAAATTGTAAGACACTGAAGAAAGAAATTGAAGAAGATACGAATAATTGAAGCATATACCATGCTCAAGGATAGGGAGAAGTAACATTGTTAAAATATCCATACTACACAAAGCAATCTATAGATTCAATGAAATCCCTATCAAAATACCAGTGGCATTTTTCACAGAACTAGAGTAAGTAATCCCAAAATCTACATGGAACCACAAAAGACCCAAAATAGCCAACACAATCTTGAAAAAAAGGAACGAAGTTAAAGGTACCACACTACCTGATATCAAACTATAATACAAGGCTATAGTAATCAAAACAGCATGATATTGGCATAAAAATAGACACATAGTTCAATGGGATAAAATAGAGACCCAGAAATAAACCCAGACCTATATGGTCAATTGATCTATGACAAAGGAGGCAAAAATATACAATGGAATAAAGACAGTCTTTTCAATAAATAGTGTTGTGAAAACTGGACAGATACATGCAAAAAAAATAACTAGACCACTTTCTTACACCATAAACAAGATAAATTCAAAATGTATTAGAGACTTAAATGTAAGACCTAAAACCATAAAACCGATAGATGAAAACATAGGCAGTAAACTATGACATAGCTCTTAATAAATTTTTTGTTTATTTTTGATATGTCTCTTCAGGCAAGGCAAACAAAAGAAAAAATAATCAAATGGAGCTATAGCAAACTAAAAAGTTATTGCACAGCAATGAAAACCATAAAAAACACACGAATAGCCAACCTACTGAATGAGAGAAGATATTTGCCAATGATACATCCAATAAGAGGTTAATATCCAAAATATATAAAGAACTCAAGCAACTTAACACCAAAAGGAAAAATAATCTGATTTAAAAATGGGCAGAGAGCCTGGAATGGAAAATAGTATGGAGCCTTCTCAAAAATTAAAAATATAATTTAAAATCCATTATAAGAAGTAAAACACAGAATTAAAAAAAAAGTGTGTTTTATTTCTTATAATTGATTTCTAGTTTCAAACCATTATGGTTGAAATAGATGCTTGATATATTTCAGTCTTCTTAAATTACTGATACTTCTTTTGTAGTCTAACATGTGATCTAACCTAGAAAATGTTCCATATGCACTTGAAAATTATTTATTCTATTTTTGTCCAATTGCTGTGACTAGCACTTGCAAATATCATATGACCCATTTCTGGGTACTTATTCAAAGAAATCTAAAACACACATGCAACTCTATGTTAATTGCAGCATTATTTTTAATAGTCAAGATATGAAAGCAACCTAAATATTATCAATAGATGAATGGATAAAGGAGGGTACATATATACAATGAAATATTACTCAGCCATAATAAAGAGGGAAATCTTGCCATTTGCAACAACATCCATGGACCTAGAGGATATTATGCTAAATAAAGTAAGACAGGCCTGACCCAAGTGACTCAGTGGTTGAGCATCAACCTATGAATCAGGAGGTCACAGTGTGATTGGTTGGATTGTTTGGATTCCTGGTCAGGGCACATGCCTGGGTTGGGGGTTTGATCTCCAGTGGGGGGCATGCAGGAAGCAGCCAGTTAATGATTCTCTCTCATCATTGATGTCTCTCTCTCTCTCTCTCTCTCTCTCTCTCCCTTCCTCTGTGAAATCAATAAAAATATTTTTTTAACAAAACAAACAAAAATAAAGTCAGAGTGAAAATGACAAATATCATATGATTTCACTCATATGTGAATTCTAAAATACAAAACAAACAAAACACAAACAAACTCATAGATACAGCAAACAAACTGATGGCTGCCAGATGCGAGGGGTTTAGGGATCTAATTTAAACTATTTATTTAAAAGACATTTAAAAAAATTAATTGCAATCTGTTTATATAAAAGCCTAAGCGACTAGATGACGGGACAACTAGACAACCAAATGACTGACCGGTAGCTGTGATGTGCACCACCAGGGGACAGACGCTTAATGCAGGAGCTGCCCCCTGGTGGTCAGTGCGCTCCCACAGCAAGAGCTCCGGTCAGCTGACAGAGGGGCGCCAGACGCTGGGCTGACTGCTGGCTAGCCTCTCCTTTGAACACTACCCCTGTGCACACGAGCGGCAGGCACAGTGAGGCTGGGATGAGCGGGAGCTATGTGGTGCCCAGAACAGGCTCCTCCCCCGTCACCTGCCACTTGGCACACCACTTCTCGCTGTGCGGGATTGATGTGGACAGTGGGCTGGAGCCCTAAGAGCTGGCAGGTAAGGTAAGGCTGGGCTGCGGCAGTGCGGAGGTCCACTGATCCCCACAGGCCAGGCCGAGGGACCTCACCGGGTCTGATGTGGAGAAACTCATGCACCAGGCCTCTAGTTTAATATATTAAGGCCTGCTTAACTTACTTGGAAAAAATCAGATCTATGAATAAAATCTATTAGAACACAGCTAAATCACATAGAGTGAAAAAGGTGAAGGGATTGAGAAGTACAAATTGGTAGTTACAAAATAGTCACGGGGAATGTAAAGTACAGCTTAGGGAATATAGTCAATAATGTTGTTGTAACTATGTATGGGGTCAAGACTTATTGGAGGGATCATTTTGTAAGTTATATGACCACTATGCTGTACACCTGAATCTAATATAATACAGAATGTCAACTGTAATTGAAAAAACACCAGCAGTCACCCTCTCAAATATCATTTTCTCCTTTCCAACAGCAACTACAGTTAGCTCTTTAAGCTGGATATTTTGGCATTTTCCTCCAATTATTAAGGAATATGCTGTGTTATCACTCTTGGTTTTTTAGTTTTAGAAATTATTTTATTGATTTCTCATTGTGACTAATGAGGATGAAACTCTGGTCATATTCGTAAAATTCTGTTTTTAAGAACGGTTTTGTGGAAAGATTTCTGCACTGGCAGTCAAGAGAACTAGGTTCAAGTCCTGACTCTTCTGGGCATTGCCTCTCTAGGTTTGTTTCTTAATCTATAAACCTTGAGATTTAGGTAAAAAATCCCAGATCTTATGACTTTATTAAGAAAAATTTGCATGAGTCAAATGATTATTCAAATGGTTACTGTTTAAAATAATCCTTTTGTAAATTATTTTAAAAGTGGAGAAAATATATTTAATTTAAATCTGAAATTTTAAACTATTCTTAAAGCAAGTTTATCTGTCTGTCCACAAGTTACAGGAGAAGAAACTAAAGAGAAAGAACTACAATGCTAACCACACAATTCAAAATAACTCTAGAATTGGAACTCAGGAATTTTGCCTGCTGATCCAAGATTGTGGTTTACAGCTTATCATAACAATAATTTTATATCATACCTCATACATGTAATCATATACCAAGCCTTTTTCATCAAAGTGGCATTCCCATTTACCCACAGAATCAGGCACTGGGATGCTTTCAATATTTCCCAGAATGATTGATCGTAGGAAAGAATCAAAAATAATGCGACCATTTGTATCACAACTTCCTCCAATGGACCAAATCAAAGAAAACATAAAGCAAGCCTGTTGGTAAAAAACAAAAAGAAAAAACAGATAATAGTATGGTGATTGCCAGAGGGAAGAAAGATGGGGAAAGTAGAAGGGAAAGGGGGCATAAATAGTGATGGAAGGAGACTTGACTTGGAATGGTAAACACACAATACAATATACAGATGATGTATTGTAGAATTGCATGCCTGAAACCAGTATAATTTTATTAACCAATGTCACCCCAATAAATTAAATTAAAAATATTTAATTTAAACTCATTATTTAAAAGAAATTTTTAAAGAATAAATTACAATTTAAGATATTAGGCCTGGTTAACTTACTTGGAAAAGATCAGATGTATAAATAAAATCTACTGGAACACAGCTAAATCACATAGAATCATTTCTCTTGCAATAATTATCTAAATTTAAAATGTCCATGCCAAATGACCTAGGAAATTCTCTTTTAGGACTTTATCCTGAAATATATTTCCAACTGTTAAAATGATGTATGTACAAGAAAATTCACTGTAGCATGGTTTGTGATACCAAAAGAATAAAAGGAACCCAAATGTTCTTCAATAGGGGTCTGCTTAATTGGATTATGCTACATACACTAGAATACATGCAGCTGTTAAAAAAAGAAGATAATATGGAATGATCTCCAAGATATATTGTGAGAAAAGATGTAAATAAGTATAGATGGTATGCTAACATGTATAAAAATGTATACAGCCCTGGCCGGTTTGGTTCAGTGGAGAGAGTATTGGCCTGTGGACTGAAGGGTTCCAGGTTTGATTCTGATCAAGGTCACATGCCCAGGTAGTGAGCTCAATCCCCAGTAGGGGGCACGCAGGAGGCAGCCGATCAATGACTCTCTCATCATTCATGTTTCTATCTCTCTCTCCCTCTCCCTTCCTCTCTGAAATCAATAAAATATATTTTGTAAATGTATACACATAAGAGTATGCATCAAATACCTCTAGCAGGCTATCTGGGCACTGGTAATAGTAGTTGACCTGAGAGTGGCTGGAGGACTGGTATGGATGGAAAACCTACTTTTGACTTTCAAATTTTACTCAGGGCACATGCCTTACCTAGTTTAAACATCTATCAAATATATTTTGAGAGGAAATTTTCAGCCTGATATAGATCTATATTTGTCTAAAAATGATTCTGAACCATTAAAATAATTTTGGGAGTTTAGGTTTACCAACAGAATGAAAAATTCCAGGAAATATATAACATGAAGGTCACATAGGGAAACTATTCCTAAGATACTTTTATTTTATAGAAAGGTAGCACTTACATGTATGGAAGAATATTAAAAACTAATTCTGTGAAAGACAGTTCCAAACTTAGGGAGAAATAGGGATATGAATAAATTACATTTCAAACATGTCTGTTCAATTTCTTTGAAAGTGGAGAGAAATAAAGACAAAGGGAGAGGGGAAAGGAAGAGATTATGGTTAGCAGGGAACACTGGAATGTGAGATGTCTGAAGTAATTTTCTGTGGCAACAGATGAAGGGGAAACAACAGGAAGAAACTGCTATTACCAGATTAGAAGAGAAGGTAGACTGAGCAGAGGAGATCAAGACTTTCAGGAATAAGGTGATGGATGAGAAAGTAGCCTAACACCAAGGAAGAGAGCAAAACCACTCTTTCCTTTGGCTCCCTCAGAGTGATGTTCTCTGGCTTTCTCTGACTTCTAGACATTAGCCATCCTGGCCGAGTGAATCCTTCCTACCCCTGTAGGGATTCTGCCAGCAATGCTCCACCCAACAGGTGTGTGCCTACTCCTTGTCTTTTGTAGTCAGCTTCTTGCAGTCTGCATGCTGGTTTAAGATTAAGACAAAATCAATTCACCTAAAGTCCATATTGGATTAATATGAAGTCACCTTATTGTTTATCAAATTATGATATTTTATCAATAACAGGGTAGATTTGGTTTGTTCTGACATATTTTACTTTCTTTAAAGTGTTTTTTAAATCAAAATACCAGGTAAGGGCAACTTTAATGTCTTCAGTTATTCTTTCAGTGCTCATCAAAAACCAGCTCTGGATCTTACAATGTCATTCTCAGTACAAGTATCATTTGTCAGAGGCATATTTTAGTCTATAATCAAATACCACATTAAGAATAAAACCAACCATAATCCAAACATGAATGTGCTTGCTTGTAGGATCATTTTCTACCACATCACAGAGGAGTACTTCAAAGAGGCGTGTGAGAGATACAACTGCATTGCTATCACTTGTAGGAATCAGTTCCTGTAAAGTGAAAAAAATATTATACTTTTCTTTCATCTTATTTAAAAAAATAAAAGAAGATAAATATTTTAAAAACTGATAAAAGCATATAAAGAATTTAAACTGTATACATGATAAATACATCTCTCAAATATTTTGGTTTAGCATATTCCATAGTTTTATATAACATATTCTAAATTATCTAAGAAATAAATTAGCTACTGTAAGAGAATAAACAGTGTTCTAGGGGTAGAAATAAAGTCTCTAACTGCCATTCATTCATTTATTTATTCAACAAACACTTATAAAAAACATGTTATACGTATATACCAAGCTAGGAGATATAGAAAGAAAATACACACACTATCTGAAAAGTAGTGATATTGAAGTTAAGTGGACAAAAGTAATATGGGGTGATACTGACAAGGCAGAGGAAGTATCAGGGTGGAGGGAGGCTCCTAGAGTACTTGAGATAAACAATTAGCCCAGACCCAGGGAAGAGGTCAAGAAGGGAAGTGGGAGAGGAATAAATCAAGAAAGGCTTCCCAGATTAAGTAATAGCTGAGCTAAATTTGGGTGAAAAAAGTTAGCCAGGTGCTAAAAGAAAGGGCATTCAAAACAGGAGAAACTTTATATTCACAGAAATGGAAATATAAGTGGACCCAGAATTAAGGGAATTTTTTAGGATGTGAAAATAGCTTGTGGAAAAGGAGTGGCAAGAAATAATGCTTGAGAAGCAGATAGGGATCAGATTCTCAAAGGCTTTGTAGCCTGTGATAAGGTTTCATGCTAAGAAAAGAGGGTTACAATAGAGGATGATTTTAAGTAGGAGAGTAAATGGAATGAATTTGTGTTTTGGAATCTTCATTCTGGTACCAGGATGTAGACTGGACCAGAGCAGCTCTATTGTATAGATTCAAGTAGAAAATGATTAAGGTCAGAACAAAGGTTACTATTATAGGTAGAAGTGGGGTGATCAGAGGAACTGGGATGGAGAGAAGATGTCAAATATAAAAGTTAGCAAGGAGGGAAAATCCATAGATCTTGGGGACTAACTGAATGTGGAAAATATGGGAATGAATTATAAGAAGAAAATCCATCACTCAGAAGCGTATTTTGTATTATTTACAACATGTAATATTAGAGCTTTAAAATACAAAAACTAAAAAGTGACTTTACCTGTATATTTTCTTTATAAAAACATTGTACAGAATCTTCATAAAGTAGAAATTTTTTATTTTTTTCCTTTAATGCAGAATATTTTTCCTATCTTAAATAATATTTTAGGATAAAGAAATCTACTGAATGAATACCCCTTTGTCTTCTCTAGATCAACATACAGTGTGGGGCAAAAGAAGGTTTCTAGTTGTTCATATGAAAAACAACACAATAATTTATAAATAATAATACAAGAATAAAGTGTTTCACGTACTCACAACTGGAAACCTACTTTGCCCCACTCTGTATTTATTTATATGTAAGAAACGAATGTTTGTGCATGTGTGTCTGTGTGTATATGTATGTGGTGGGTTGAATTTTGGTCCCCTGACAGATTTGCCCTGTCCTAATTAATCCCATGGACTCATGAATATCTTATTTGCAAAAAGTGTCTTTGAAGATGCAATTAAGAATCTCAAGATGAGGAGAATATTCTGAATTATTTGATAGACCCTAAATTTAAGGTCCTCAATCTTTATGAGTCACACTGTGGAGAGACAGAATAGAAAACCAGGTAAACATAAAGGAAGAGACTTAGAGTTATACAGCTACAAGACAAGTAATATCCAAAGCTAAAAGAAGCTGGAAGAGGTAAGGAAAGGCTCTCCCTTATAGCTTCCAGAGGAAGCGTGGTCCTGCCAATGTCTTTTTCTTTTTAAATGAATTTTTTGGAGTGACATTGGTTAGTAAAATTATACAGGTTCAAGTGTCTAATTCTATAGTACATCATCTGTAGATTGTATTTGTGTTCACCACCCAAGGTCAGGTCTCCTCTGTCACCATTTATCCCCCCTTTACCCTCTTCTACCAGCCCCCACTTCCCCTTTCCCTCAGGTAATCACCATACTGTTGTCTGTATAAATAATTTCAATTTTTAAAGTTTTTTTTTAATCCCTTCACCTATTCACCCAGCTCCCTAAATACATTTCAATGGGTCAGAGAACAGTAGTGTTACCTTGCACTGTTTCTTACGAAGCCTTAAAGAGGGCCATATTAACCAGTCAAAAAGTCCTCTCAGAAGAGCCTGATGTTCATCTTCCTGTAAAGGTCCCTTCAGTGAACTCAACCATGAAGACACAAGCGGTTCCCATCCTAATTGTGAGGGTTCCAAATAAATCATGCCACAGCGGCTTACAGTGGCGGGCTAGAGAAAAAAGACAAATTTTCTTTTTCCAATGTTGCTTCTATAGCAGTAGTACCTGGAAGTTACTAACTACTACTTTGCATGACTTATAAAGCCCTTCACGATCTGGCTCCTGTCTTTCTCTATAGCCTCACATACTATTTGAACTATTTTAAGTTACAGTTCCCCAAGCATGCCTTGGCTTCAGGTCTTTCTACCTTGTCATGATTTGGAATACCCAGCCCCAAACAATCTCCCTGGAGAAGTCTTACCTCTCAAAACCAGATCAAACACTCAATTGTTTTCCATACCCTTCTGGGGCACTCACCCTCTCCACATTCTTAGAGCACTTACATGTAGCTCTATATTGGGATTATTTATTAGCATGCTTCTCATCTTCCCTAAATGAGCCTACACTGTGTCTTATTCATCTTTGTATTTCTAGTGTCTAACTCATCTTCTGAAACATAATTAAAACACTTATTGATTAAATAAATAAATGAATAAACAAACAATTGTTATAGTAAATTATGAACTTACTGAGGCCTGGGAAAGGTCCATTGCTTCAAAGATTAGGCTCATTTGAGGGGACATTTGAATGATTTCTCCACTCATAAGGCAAAGCTAAAAACAATTATTTTTTCAAATGTTTATGTAAAAATTTTTCAAACTTCTCAAATGAAAATGTATTTTACTTATAAGATAATATATGTGATATGATGTAATAAGTAAATATGAATACTCATATACTTATCTCCTAGATTTATCAATGTTAACATTTTGCCATTTTTGCCTCTTTTAAAAAAATTATTTTAAAGATCATTACATATACCATGACATTTTACATGCCAAAATTCATCTAAAAAATAAGGTCTTTTCTATATCACCACAATATGATCACATCTAACACAATTACCAATAATTCCTTAATATAATCAACTCACCCAATATTTACATTTTCTCAATTGTGCCAGAAATGTCTTTTCAACTGATTTACTGAAACAAAAATTCAATCAATGACCATGAATTGTGTCTGCTATGCCCCCTTGGTCCCTTTTAATCTAAAATATTCCTTTTTGATCAAATATGTAAAATTGAATTTATCAACTTCTCCCTTTCTGCCAAACGCCTTTCTTGTTCATTATTACTAAAGCCATTCTGTCTTCTTAATCTCTTTGGCTTCTAACTTTGGAATTATCAAGTTTTAATAATTTAATAATAATTATTAATTATTGACATTCCAAGTTAATTTCATTACTAAGTCTCTTAAATACTTCCTATTCATTTATTTTTCAGTATTTCTTCTCTGCTTCTACCATTACAACTCTAGTTTCAGTTTTGTCCCTGTCTAGTTATATGTCAATAACATGGCATTTAACATTTCTGAATCTGCTTATAAATAAGTGGTCTATACCTGGACTGTCCAATGTGTTAACCAGTAATCATATGTGGCTATTTATATTTAACTTGAAATTCATGCAAGAGTAGGCCTTCCTTCCCCCAGCTGCCGGCACTGACTTCCCTCTGACACCCGGGACCCGAGCTTCCCTCACAGCCCCGGATTCGTCCGGAAGGATGTCCTGTCTAATTAGCATATTACGCTTTTATTATTATATATTTTAGCTAATTACATTTTAAGAAATTTAAAGTCAGTTCTTCAATTGTACTAAGCCACATTTCAGATGCTCAATATGTGAGTAAATACTCAATAAGCCACATGTGACTAGTGGCTACTTTGTTGGACAGTGCAGATATTTACATCATTGCAGAAAGTTCTATTGGACAATGCTAGTCTAGAATACTATTAACTTTTCAACAGATTATTTCAGCAAACATTCTTCTACTTGCTACAAATTTGGGAGGTAGAATCAGCCTTCTCCTTATACCCTCATGCTGTTTCTCAAATACTTCTACTCCACCCTCCAGTACAATCCTTGCTCTTTTGACAACCCCTGCTTGCTGCTGTCACTCACCAACATCCAATCATTCCCCTCTGTTAGCTACAGCCTTCATACTTGGTTTAATCTTCTTTCTCCTATAACTCTGGCCTGATCCAGTGCTCAGAGGGGGAGCATCTCATAAAACTTGGACCCTTGACCACTTGGTCTTCACTTATTCTCCTACTCCACTCCAGCTATCCACTTATATACCTGGGGCCTTCTCTACTGAAACACTAAACAATTCTAAAATACTAAGTTTGAGCATCCCAATTTCTGCCCACAGACTCCCACCCATCCAGCTCTCTTGCTCATTAATTCATACCACACTTGCTCTTCATTTTCTTTTATTTTTTATTTTTTAAAGTATTGCATGTTTTCTTTTTCCCCGTTGCTCTTCATTTTCATATCCCTGTTGTTCCCACTTCCTCCATTATTAAGCAACTTCAGTTCTTTGGCCTAGCACTTCTACCATTCTCATGCCAATATCTTAAAGTCTTCCTGTATTTCCAGTCTAGCAACATTATCCACACACACACACACACACACACACACACACACCCAAACCACTTATACTCTTAAAGAAAATCTCACAAAGGCAGACCTTAGCACTACTACTAATAATTCATGGTCTTCAATTCAATCAAGTTCTCAGTAACACTCTGATATGCTTCTATAGTTTCCTAGGCAGCTCTTTCCCATTTTCCTAATGGCTCCTTTAAATCTTCTCCTTTCTCCTCAAGTGTGCAAAAGAAATAGGGCCTGCAACTTCACAAAGTAAAAATAAATAACCAAAAAGATTTGTCTTCAAATTTCCACCTTCAAATCCATACATTCACCTGTGTCTATATCTATCCTTTACTGCTTCCCTCTTACCCAATATGAAATAATCCTTCTACCTGGCTATGAATTCTTAGACTTGTCTCTACTGGTTAACCCCTCTCTTGTGAATCATCACTGTATCTTCTCTGTTCCCTCCTCCGCCCCCCTCTTAGTCAATATGACTAAATTTATGAAAGAATATGAATAAATGACCAATCACCTATGATAAAGTACTGAAGTATATGTTTGAATGCTAATTAAATTAATTTGCTTGTTTAGTGGTATAGTAATTTCATGTAAATATGAAAATAAATTGTGGTATATTCATACAGTAGAACATAAACACAGACATAAAAAGAATAAATAAATAAAATGGAACTATAACAACATGAACATCACAGATACTATACTGACTTAAAAAAAGAAAACACTTAAGAGTATAATTCCGCCGAAACCGGTTTGGCTCAGTGGATAGAGCGTCGGCCTGTGGACTGGAAGGTCCCAGGTTCGATTCCGGTCAAGGGCATGTACCTGGGTTGCGGGCACATCCCCAGTAGGAGATGTGCAGGAGGCGGCTGATCGATGTTTCTCTCTCATCGATGTTTCTGACTCTCTATCTCTCTCCCTTCCTCTCTGTAAAAAATCAATAAAATATATTAAAAAAAAAAAAAGAGTATAATTCCATTCCATAAAGTTCAAGAACCAGCAAAACTAATTTATCACAGTAGAAGTCAGAATAGTTATTGCTCCTGGGGTATACTGATTGGGAAGGGACATGAATGAACTTTGTAAGATACAAGAAATTTTAGGCATCTTTACCTAGGTGACAATTATGTGAGGGTATACTTATGTAAAAAAACACATAGAATTTAAACTTAAAGTTTTATGCTGTATGTATGTTCTCTCTCAATTAAAATAAATACTAGAAGTCTTCCATTTTCTACTTCTTTGTATATGTTATAGATTCTAAGGTAATATACCAATATAGCACTGAAGCATTTGATGTTTTAAAAAAGGAATGTAAAAAAAGGAATGTAGTCTTTTTCTTTTTTCCTAAAATATTAATTTAAAGTTCTGAAGAAACCATAGGTCTGCAGTTACTTTATAAATTATTATCACCTATTACATTAGTATGCCTTCCTGCTAACATAGTAATTTAATATACTTTTATTCTATAAAAATTAAGCAAAGAATTTACGGAAAAATTTTCATTGGAAATATCATTTATAAAGTTATGCAACTTTCTGCATCCTTTATTTCAAATATACAGTCATAAGTGATTAGTTGTTGAACTTACAACATTCCTTTGCTTTTTAAAATTGTGGTAAAAAAATACAACATTAAAGTTATCATATTAGCCATTTTTAAGTTTGTAATTCAGTAGTGTTAGTTATATTCATATTGTGCATGTCTTGTTTTTAATGATGATGATTTTACCTTTTTATTATCATCCAATACTGTGTTCATGCTCTCTATCCACAAGGTGTCAATGGGACCATCAAATACAACCCATTTCCGGTCAGTTGTTTCTGATAAGGCAAATTCTCTAAAAGTGTTAGCCACAATACCATCAGTCCACTGAGGAGGAAAAAAGGAAAAATTGGAAAGCTTCCTATATAGAACTACAAAGTGATTATACGAAAACATTTCAAATCTTTTGGTTTAATGTGCATTGTCAATAAGAGTTGAGAATGTTTATACTATACATTACCTCATGAGATACTGGGTCAAACTGTCCAAAAAGTTGGCCCATAGTAATGGATTTGGGGTTTACAGTCCTATAAATGACCTTTTCTTCCTCTCCATAGCCACGTTCATGCATAAGAGTTAGAGTATCAGCCAGCACATGCAGAACTTCTGTCTTAGCAGCAAAAGGTTCTCCTACTAACATAAAACTATTAAGGAAGAGAAGTAATTAAACAATGACTCTAAAAATAATAGTAAATCAAATTATTTGCCTATATAGTGGAATGTAAAATTTTACCCTAATTACTACATATAATTTTTGAAATCATATGAATTTTTCTCAGACATGAGGAAAATACATTTAACTTCTGAAATGGTTGATCTCTAAATCAAATTATCTACATTAATACCATTATCTACAAAAGAGAATATAATAAAAATCTTCAAATGAAAATTTAATAATTGTATACTCTTAAAATAAATAAAAAATGTTTTGGGTCCTTCTAAGGAGCGGAGTAAAGATTCTCTTTTCTCAAGTCTTCACTTGCTATAGCAATTATTAGTGCTTTTGGCCAAATACTTCTGAATCTCCTCACTTTCTGTGGAAGTAATAGATGACTAATGAGTAATCAGTGGAAATGATGGGTGTTACCTCCTAGCATGGGATAGATAATTGCCAGAGAGGGACCTTACAGAGTTCTCTCTTTTCCCTCTAGCACAGCCATGACCTACAATGTAGAGATGGTTCTCACAGCCTGGCACCCTGTGTTAATTATGATGAGTAGAACCTCCCTGTTAACCTATGATGGACACAATATGAAAGAGAAATAAACCTTTGTTTCTTAAGACACTAAAATTTGGGTGCTGATTGTTTCTACAGACTATCCTAGCCCAGTGATGGCGAACCTATGACACAAGTGTCAGAGGTGACACACGAACTCATTTTTTTGGTTGATTTTTCTTTGTTAAATGGCATTTAAATATATAAAATAAATATCAAAAATATAAATCTTTGTCTTACTATGGTTGCAAATATCAAAAAATTTCTATATGTGATACAGCACCAGAGTTAAGTTAGGGTTTTTCAAAATGCTGACATGCTGAGCTCAAAAGGTTCGCCATCACTGTTCTAGCCCATCCTAGAAGAGGGGAAGGTATTCTTGCTATAATAAAAAAGACTAAAATATGTGACATCAGCTTAGAGGTTAGGCCAGTGGTCAGCAAACTCATTAGTCAACAGAGCCAAATATCAACAGTACAACGATTGAAATTTCTTTTGAGAGCCAAATTTTTTAAACTTAAACTATATAGGTAGATACATTGTTATTAACTTAATTAGGGTACTCCTAAGGCTTAGGAAGAGCCACACTCAAGGGGCCAAAGAGCCGCATGTGGCTCGCGAGCCGCAGTTTGCCGACCACAGGCTAGGCCATGGGTGGCAAATTAACTGTTATCAGAGGCTAAGAGATTGTCAATTAATGTTATGCACTGATCAGACATTTGATAAATTTATCTCTTGAAGTTAACTGGAAGACAGATAGTATAACTAATAAAATTATAATTTTCAGATAAAAGGATAGTAAACAGAATATTAATATTATATAATGGCCATTGATAGCTGCATTTAACAAGGAACTATAAGAAAGAAATAAGCCCAGCAAAAATAGGCAGTTTTCAAGCAAGAATGAAAGAGAATAGAAAGAGTCGAGAAATTCAAGAAACCTACATGATTGATAAGGGCAATTTTTTCTCATCCCCAACTGGTAAAAAGATAAATTGAGAAAATCTTTGAACAACAAAGACCTACTCAGCCTGGCATCAAGGATCAAATCAAGGGTAGGGCCATTGTATCACTTTATTAAAACCTATGAGAAATTAATATGGTTCCCAGTAATCATTTCAGGAGGATAAAACAGTTCTGGGAAAACAGATTAAGAATGTGATCCTCTGTATTAAGCTTGATAGGTTTAAGGATACTACAAGGAAGATCAGAAATGTATAACTTAATAAGAACTGTAGTTGTGGCTACTGGAACATAGAGCTGCCTGGAATCCAGTAAGTAAAAAGCTTATTGTTTTTGAGAGTTTACTGACAAAGAAACAATGAGTCTAGAGCAGGGGTGGGCAAACTTTTTGACTCAAGGGCCACAATGGGTTCTTAAACTGGACCGGAGGGCCAGAACAAAAGCATGGATGGAGTGTTTGTGTGAACTAATATAAATTCAAAGTAAACATCATTACATAAAAGGGTACGGTCTTTTTTTTTTTAGTTTTATTCATTTCAAACAGGACGGATCCGGCCCGCGGGCCGTAGTTTGCCCACGGCTGGACTGGGGTCTATTACTACTACCACCTTTTGTGGAAGAGCCACACTCAAGGGGCCAAAGAGCCGCATGTGGCTCTCGAGCCACAGTTTGCTGACCACTGGTAGGCTAAAACACATGTGAATGTTCAAGACTTAAAAATGATCCTTGGAGGTCCTGGCCAGGTGGCTCAGTTGGTTGGAGTGTCGTTCCATACACCAAAAGGTTTGGGGTTCGATCCTAGTCAGGGTATATACCTAGGTTGTGGGTTTGATCCCCTTCGGGACACATACAGGAAGCAACTTCCTTCCTCTCTCTCTCAAATCAATAAACATATCCTCAGGTGAAAAAAATGAAAGATCCTTGGGTATTGGATGCATGAGAGTTGATTGTATTAGTTTTCCCTCTATTTTTGCTTGTTCGAAAAATTATATAATACAAAGGTTGTTTCTTTAAAAATCCTGCTTTTAAAATAATAATGATCTTTGAGACCTCAACTTTTTATAGGCGGGAAGCAGGTTGAAAACATTTCTCAACTCCAAGGACATTTTCTCTATTGTCTACTTCACATGTGACCAGGAAAGAAAATGAAGATGAAAAGATCTCTCAGAAGGTCAAACCAAGGTCCATAGAGAACAGTTAACTGGAAAGCCCCTCGCAGGGAGAATAAAGCAAATATGGAACCAGGTTTTATGGAGTTTTAAGTTTATACAATTGGTAGGGGAGGCTGTCTAAAGATAGGAAAAAATATATATGTAATTATAAATACAAAATGCCCACAGCCACTTTAATGACATCCTGTATAATAACTTATGACTCCTTGGAGGGGCCCCTACAAGTGAGAGGTCCTGAAGTTTAAACTCCATTAGTTTCACCCAATCTATCTCTGGAATTGGGACCCCGCATGCCCACCTGAGTTTCAGAATTGCTACCGATCAGTGTTGGCTGTATCTCCTATTTGTCTTCTATTCTTCTATTTCTAAAGGAGAGTGTTTGCTCTAATAATCCTGTTCCGGTAAACCCACTTCTATAATATTGGGTGTGTGAAGGGCAGATAACTTGTCTTTCTAGTTCCTAGGTCTCTGGATCAAGAAGAACAACTTCCAAATTTGATACAGAAACTATCATGCATCATCTAGATATCCTGAACTTTGAGTCTGGTTCATTGATTGACTGGAACTTTTAGGTTATCTCCCTGAGAAAAAAAGAGTGTATTTTATGTGCATGAAGGAGATTGAATAACATACTTGATGATCAAAAGGGAAAGTTGTGTTGATCATTAGTGCTATATCACTGAATGAGCCTTCCCAATCCTTGTTGGTCATGTAGCATGAGAAAGAAATAAACTTTTGTTTTTAAGCCACTGGTATAGAACTAGGAGGTGGAAGATGTTTCCTCCCTAGCCACCTAGCATATGAAGTTTGCTGAGTCTTTTGATACACAAATTTAGTTGGTTTAATAGCTTAATTTAAAAATAACATCTAACACTGGCAAACAATGTTAATCTATACTCTTACCCATGTCTAACAATCATCATTTCATATGTCTGAATCATTTTTTCTATAAAAAATTTCACAGGCTGAAGATTGTGTACTTTGCAGACTTCATGAGCACATTCCAAAAATTCCTAAAATAAAAGAAAAATGAAATGCATTTCTATAAAATGGTATTATACTATAAATCATGTCATACTTATCTTATAAATGTAGACTTTTTATTTACAAATAAGAAAACGATCTTCTTATATTGAAAAATTATTTCTTGAAGCTTTATTTTTTAATTGAAAGGAGGAACAGAATTAAAATACTTTAAAATTATCAGTATTCCCCATTATAAGTTATTAAAGATACTAGAAGCCTGGTGCACAAAAATTCGTGCACTCGGGGGGTCCCTCAGCCCAACCTATGCTCTCTCACGGTCCAGGACCCCTTGGGGAATGTCCACATGCCAGCTTAGGCCTGCTCCCTGGGGGATTGGGCCTAAGCTGGCAGTCAGACATCCCTCTGGCAGCCCAGAAGCCCTCGGGGGATGTCCACCTGCCAGCTTAGGGAGCGGTCCTAAGCCACATTCGGACATCCTTAGCACTGCAGAGGATGCAGGAGAGGCTCCCACCACCCCCGCTGCGCTCGCAGTCGTCAGCCCGGCTTGTGGCTGAACAGAGCTCCCCCTGCGGGAGGGCACTGACCATCAGGGGCAGCTCCTATGTTGAGCATATGCCCCCTGGTGGTCAGTGTGCGTCACAGCGACCAGTCGTTCCGGGTCGTTCCACTGTTAGGGTCAATTTACATATTACCCTTTTATTATATAGGATAGCACTGTAGCACTGTGTATATGCTACATGACACAATTCCTTTTAATAGTGATTTCCAGAATTTTACTTTTGGATAGGCTATAGAAGAACATGCCAAACAATCCTTTATACTGTACTAACTAGAAATAAACAGGGAAGCTTAAAAAATATCCATAAGTATTTGAAGATACAGGAGTACTTTGAATACAAATAAGTCTAAAAGAACTAAATTTCAGAAAGGAATGAGCCTTTCTTAGGTGAATACAAATCACAGCTAATTTTGCCCCGGGAGCATTTTTTAAGTGTGAACATAGATGTTAGTGGATTGGATCTGCTATAGGCATAGAGACTTTGCTGAAGTAAGGAGAAACCAACAGAGATTTTAATGGTCATGTGTGACAGATTTTAATCTGGAGGAGCCTCAAGTGCAAAGCTTTTTCTCTGCTTTTGCTGAATAAGGCACATATAGAGAGAAATTTCCTTAGTCTTGGGATATATATCCCAAAATTCTGCTAGAGGGAGGGCCCTTTAACACAGGACAATTCTCACCCTTAAAGACGATTGAAACCAGAGGTAAACTGAATCTCAACAACTCTGCAACAAAACTCTGACTTAGTTAGACTCTGGCTGGCATGGCTCAGTGGTTGGAGCATTGGCCTGCACAAGGGAACTTTGAAAGACAAAAAGCAATTGCCATGAAGCATCATAAAACATTTCCATTTGTTCTGTCTTCTTTTGTAATAGCAACAAAAAATACAATGCAATATTTAAAAAAAACCCACAACTTTACACTTATGAAAGATTCAGGCTGCTTCAATCAAATGTACCATCATCACAAATACAATAAAAGCATCATCACCTCAGTTTCTAAGTCTATACTTAAATAACTCCTTTACTTTAGTAAGATTTCAAGTGGGCATTATATGCCTATTTATCTCAGAGTGTCAAAATTTCCAACATTCCTCCTATGAACTTAGGCTCACAATGACTAGAAGTAAAGTTCATTTGGTTTTATCATATACAACCTAATCCCTCCAGCTTCAGTAGCTTAAGTCTAAGAATGATATGATGTATGTGTGTATAACCCATTGTGAACAATCCTACTTAACTACCATTAGTTTATTAAGGCATACAATAATAGCAGTTAATTCAGTTTCAGGTTGTATAAAACTGAAGTTGGTGAAAAACTAAGGATTATGGATTGCAAAACAGCTCTTTAAACTCATTTACATGCTTTACATGTTTGGAATGTGCCTTCACATAGAGTACTGTCATGCAGACCACCTACTTGCTGTTTTCTATTGAATAGACACTGCCTTCCCTTTCTTAGCATGAGAATGTTTATTCAATTGAACGTCTTGATTTTACATAATATAGCATCAGGAATGGTAATTACACTGTCTTGAAATTTAATCTGTCCATTTGTTTGTAATCAAAAGCATATCAGAAATCTGTCAGTCCAGGTAATGAAACACTCCCAAATATCCAGTTTTACTATTAAAGTCCTAGTAGTATTTTTCAAATTGGAATCTATGGATCCATGAGTCTATTTCTGTATTCACGGGAATGCAAGAACTCTCCAAGAGAATGGTAAGATTTTTATTTCTAAAAATCCTTAGTTTTTCACCAATTTCAGATATGCTAAAAATCATATTAGCATATCCTGAATTATCTTGATAATTATCTGTGGTATAATACAAAAATATATATGGTCTTTGACACCTCCCCCCTACCTGGCACAGAGCTCCTACAACCCTTTGGATTTCTTGAGTCTTTTGCTATTCACAATGAGCCCTTTTTAATCACATCTGAGTTTACTTAGGTTAAGGACACTAGATAGCCTCAGTATGCAACTAGTCACCAGAAAGACACATTGATTTGAGGGCTGAACTTTCATCTCTACCTACCAGCCTTGAGGAAGGAGAGGGGGAGGGCTGAAGATTGAGTTCTACAAAAACTCTGAATGAGATTCAGGGAGCTTCTGGTTTGGTGAACACACCAAGTTGCAGGGAGGGTGACACACCCTTAGGCCGTGGAAGCTCCACTGCTGCCACTTTCCCATACCTTGCCTTGAGTTGTATCCTTTATAAAAACCAGTAAATATAAATAAACTGTGTTTCTGAGTTTTGTGAGCTGTTCTAGCAAATTATCAAACCTGGAGGGCAGGGGGAGGGCGGGGAAACCCCTGAAGTACGATGGCCTAGAACTTGAGACTGCTATCAGAAGTGAGGGATAGTTTTATAGGATCAAGCCCCAATTTGGAATCTGACACTAATTCCAGGTAGTTAGTGTCAGAATTGAATTGTTGAACACCCAGTTGGTGTCCAGAGAATCAAAAAATTGGTTGTTGGTTGTAAAAAATACCCTAGAATCACCACAATCTGATTCTGTCATAGGACATATATTAGAATTTGAGTTTGAAGATTAAAAACAAGGAGAACCTAAGACCTTAGACCAGGGGTGGGTAACCCCTGGCATGGGTGCCAAACATGGCATGCCAGTAACTTTTGCTGGCACGCGAAACCCTCTCTTATAATCTTCCATTTACAATTTTTGTGAACATTGGAATGACTTAAATGTTAAACTACAAGGAACTGGCAAGACACTTGATGTTATGTTTGGTTACATAAAGGCTTTTGAAAAGAAACTGGAAGTCTTTAAGAGGGATGTGGATGGTGAGAGATTTAGATATTTCCCAAACCTCAAGAGGCACATCAAAGACCTCCCAAAAGATGACAGAACAGACTGTCAAAGCCTTCAAAAGCTGTTTTTAAACATCATCGAGTCAACTATTGAGCAGTTCTTCTCAAGATTTGCGAAATTCAGAGAACTGGAAGAGACAGCAAAATTCATGAGGTTTCCAGACAGCATGAAACTGGAGGAACAACTAAAACAAATGTTTTCATGGATAGACATGGCTGACTTTGAAATGCAGTTGATTGAATTTCAGAGTAGCTCAATTTGGAAGCAGAAATTTATTGACCTTAGAGTTGACTTGGAAAACATTGAAAAAAAGTGATTCGAGACAGGAGTACCAGAGAGAAATGTCGAAAACGAACTATTGAGGACTTGGAATGCCATTCCAGAAAATTTTTTCTGTTTAAAAAACTTTGCAACAGCATTACTCTCCATGTTTTCATCCACATACACTTGTGAATCTTTGTTCTCAGTGATGAATTTTGTTAAGTCTCGTAATAGGAGTAGCCTGGCGGATGAAAGTAGTAGCTCATGCATATCTCTGAAGGTCACGAAATATAAACCTGATGTAAAATCTCTGTCATCAGTGATGCAGCAGCAAAAGTCCCACTGATAATATCAAATGGAGTCATAAATTTTTCTGTCGGACTATCAGTGTAGATGTATACATTAAAAAATAAATGTCTTTTTCATCATCCTATACTGTGTTTTTGTCATTCGAATGAATTTCATTATTTCTTCAAGGTTCTTCACATACGTACACCTTAAGAGATATCAAGTAGGCGTAACATGTTCTCAAAAAATTAGGGTTAGCACACAGAAGAATTTTGAGTCAGAGATTTTGCTAGTTTTGGCACGCACTCACAAAAAGGTTGCCACCCCTTCCTTAGACTTAAGACCTTAGAACTTAGCTCCTTTAGTTAAGCTCCTCTGACCCCTAATACCTATCAAAATTATATCTTGTCTCTGGACTCTTTATTAGTCTCTGGATTCCTATTTAATCTATGCACGGCCTTCTCCAGATTCCTGAACCCTTCTAGATGCTGGAATAAGAACCCTGGCATAATTGGCACACCGAACTATGAACATTTGGGAGACGAAAGACTCGCCTGAGCGGAAACGGCACCAGTTATGGTGAAAACTCCTCCAAGCCCATGTGGATTCCTGCAACAACGGATCCCAGAGAGGAACTGAGGAGACTGCTCCAGCCACAGAATAGTAGTGGCCCCAGAGAAACAGTCCAGAAATGAAGATGGTGAAGACGCGTTACCATGCTAGCAGTCAGCAGCTGTGCATCGCTGCAGGTTGCCCAGGACCAAACCAGAGAAGGTCGGACCTGCATTGCCACCATTTGTCCACCATCCAGAACTGAAATATCAATGCTGACATGTGCACATAAGAAACTGTTGGACATTGAAATTGGGACTCTAAGAACTGTTGGCCCACTGATGAACAAAAATAGATACAGAGGCAGGGCAGCATTGAACAGACTGTCAAACTATAGTGGGAAGCCTGGGGAGCGTGGGTGACAGAATCCCTGTGACAATCTTCAATAGCCTAGTGGCTCAACTAGGCTAATGAGACCAAAAAAAACAAAACAACAACAAACAAAAACAAAAAACAAGTGAACAGAGAAGCTC